TGAGGATGGAGCCTGTGCAGCAATGAGAGAAGTGTTCTGGACAGTGAAAAGGAATACCATCTGGAGAAGCGCAGACCCCTCTGGCAGAGCAGGGCAGGACGCTGCCCAGGCAGCACCATCGGGCGCAGTGAGGAAGGGGAGGCTGAGGCAGCCTCAAGCTGCAAGTGCCAAGGTACGAGATGACTATTGCAAACAGTCATGGTAAAGACACTTGCGAGGGCAGTGCTGTGGTATCAGTAAAAAAACAAAATATTTCCTATATAAATCATTGCCACTAACAGCTCTTTTCCTAGACGGAGAGAAATCTTTGAACCCACGACTTTTCTGCCACATTAACCAGCTGGTTTGGTTTTCCACCCACCCCCGCCTTTCCGATCTACCCTACTCCTTAAACTTGGGGATTTTTTTTTTTTTGTTAAACCAGCTAAGCTAGAATACCAACTTATTTTCACTTCACGTCTCCTAAAGCAAGAAAACCATCCAATTTAATTGATCGTTTGTTCTCGGCACTGTCACTCGAGTCATTTGAGCACACACAAGCTCAAGACAGAGCCGCCCCCGCAGTCCTCCCCAGTTGGGGTAGGGATGCGTTTCCAAAACCATCTCCTATGGAAACTCATCAGGCTCTCAAAGAGAGCTGTCAGCTGGAATTGTCTCTCTCTCTTGCTGTCTTAAAGGCTCCATCTTGATCGTCTTCCACAGGGGCCTTGGGGACCACCTTGCAATTAATCTTTCATGTTTGTGGATGTGTTTTAATCCTGATGCTGTTTGCAATGTATACCCTCAGCAAGACATGCCTTTGTGTCTGTGAGCACCCTTCGGGGACAGAGATGCAAACTGAAAACAAAACACAACCTTTGGAATTGCTTTTTTTAACCAGAGCAAATCACACGGTGACTTGTTGGTGGAAACCTAGAGACTAGGTTTGTGAAGTGTTATTTACTCATTCTCCCTTGGAATCAATTGGAAGCAGAACACTGGAACCACTGCTCTGGCCTGGCACAGGATCTGTTCCAAGAGGATCAGCCAATAGTCGGTGACTTGCGAGGAATCCGTTAATACAGCATTTTGGAAAATGCCTGTCAGTCACTCATAACTGAGCAAAGGCTGCAGGAAAGATGCTCCTTACCTTTTCTGGTCAGGTTCACATTTTGATTCTCAAACATCTGCACGGATTCTCCCACAAAGAGGATTTTCTCAGCAACCCGCACGGGAATGTAGGAAGGCAGCATTTCTACTCGCAGAGAAAACTGTTTCAGAGATGGAGCTAACATGTTCTCCTCCTCAATCAAGCGCTGTCAGAGACCCCGGGGAAAAGAAACCAAGCAAAAAAAGTGTGAGAAAACCAGACAGAAAAAGTATATAAAGAGGTATGTCTGTGTGGGAGGGGGAATCCAAGTGCATTGGAAGTAAGCAGAAAGGCAGCAAACCTGATCTGTGTTATTTACGTAACCCTGCAAACTACTGTATGATGCTGGTATGCCAGAGATGTTGCTTTCATCAGAAAGGAGAGCAGAAGCAGGAAAAGGAGAAGCTAAACATTTGTGGAATAGCAGCAAATTGGCTCTCCCAAAGGATAATATTACATCAGCAAATGGAATTTTTGTTGCAACTGCATTACATTAGTTTTTTTGCAGCCGTAACAGTGTTAATTAACATCACCAAAAATAATCCTCCCCTATCCCCGTTCCTGTATGTTTTAACACTGCTACATCACTTGGGATACAGGTCAAATATAAATACCTCCACTAGAAGGCAAGTAGGTTAAAGATATGAAGGCTCACTAGCATAAATTAGGCTTTTTTTTTCAGTTCCTGCGAAAGGTGTTCAAAACAGTAAGTTACTAAACTTTTTCTGAGTGTATTAATAAAGAACTGCAAGTACAGAGGCAGGATTTTCCTTAAGAGAAGCAATACTGATTATGTCATTTGGCTTTCTTGTTATTGCAGACTTAGGTTCATTAGTCCATCGTCAAAAAAACACCGTGCTAACGAATTTTGCCATCTACAGAACTCTTCATTTTAACAGAGAGTTCAGTATGAGTTTGTATACTGATGTTAACAGCTTGGCAATTCTTAAGATTCTTCTGACACTTTTAGATGAGGAAATACCCAAGTATTTTATTGGTCTGTCCCATCAACACTCAGGATTTCTTATTTCACTCTCTTGAGTGAAGAACTGACAACACTGCTAGTCAATAATACTGAAGAAGAATTAGGCTCTTTTGGTGTCATCTTAGTGGCTACATTTTCCACCATGATCTAGAAGACTCACCAATTTTCAGTCTTCTTATATCCGATAGAGTGAAATAATAGATTTTTCACTAACTGCCTTTTAAAGTTTTCCTTTGTTTTTGCCGTGTGTAGTCTGCTTGCAGCAAAGACTCTACACGACACTTAATCAGCATGCAACACAGTTGTTTTGGAGGTGAACCTTCTGTGTGTTCACAGCCCAGCTGCCTGCAGCACACCACGGGTGCCCCCAGAATGTCTTCTCACGGTAAACTGGAGTATGAATTCATGGAGTCGCAGCTGCTCCTCACGGGTCCCTGGTGCAAACACTATTCAGAAGCACAACGCGTGGAAGATCACCCCACGGGGAAAGCTGCTTTGCACCAGGGCACTCTGGTGGTGTACCATCTGCATGAAGAGTTCCTGCATTTCACCGGCAGACTGGCAGGCTGCTCCCTTGCTTAGCTTAGCACCCTGGACATGTTCTCAGCAGCCTCTTGACTCTTGCATAGCACATTTTCCCCCAGTAAAGTCAGTAGTATTGCCCTGTTAGGTAACACTGGCACAACAAGCGATTGTGCAGGAAAGGTTCCTGACCCCGCTGCCAATGGCACGGGTGCAAATCCAGTCAACACCCACGCTCCCCACACCCTCTCCCTTGCAATTGCTCACACCACCACTAATGCCTAAGGTCTCAATGTATGTCCAGTCTAGCACAGCTTGCACTGAAGCAGAAGACAATATACGTCTGTTTTAGTCCCCTAAGGATCAACAGATGCCAAGCTATGACTTGCAGCCTTACCAGGTCCTGCAGTTCTCGTAGCTGTTTTCCTGTAAGTCCCCCAATTCCTAGGTCATCGTCATCCTCTGCAGGCTGGCTAGAGACATTCCCAGAAGAGGGGCCCTGTTTGATGAAGAACTCTTCGTGTTGGTCTAGCAGCAGTCCATGCAGCATCCAGGCAGAGAGCTGCTTGTACATGACTCCATGACACACAGCCAGAATCCTGAGGTCAAGAGAAAGAGACAGCAGGGCCTTTGCACGCAGTCATCAAAACCTCATCGTACATCTCTCTGGAAAGTCCAGTTAGTCAGACAGACAATATGGCTGGGGGTTTTTTTTTTTTTTTTTTTTTTTTTTTTAAGCAGAGAAAGGTGGTCCAATCACTTGCAAAACTAAACTAACATATCCTCCGAGTATGTGGCTTCTTCATGGAGATCTGCTAGTATTCCAGAAGTATAATTAAGTTTGTGGTGGCTTCACAGTCCTGCTGTTTCTACTCAATTACCATTTCATCAGGAACACAAATTATCTTTTAAGCAGTCTGACTTTCTGCCCGTGGACGTACAAACCTTGCAACGCTCACTGAGTCACACTCATCCTTTTGAAGGATCCAAAAACAAAACAGGTCTACCATATGCAAAACAGTTCATGTAGACCTCAAAAGAAGAAAAACCATAGGGTCTCAACTTTGCCTAGCCCTAAGTCCAAAGTATGGAGAAAGCCTTAATTCCTGCCATAAGCTTGCTTTAGATAAATAATGGGGACTGACATTTCTCCCTGCCTGCTACTCCTACTTTTATATCATGCAATCCTGTTTGGCATGTACTGGTTTCACAAGTGGGGTAAACACTTTGACACCAACTCCACTTCCTACAGAAGAATTAAACAATAGCTTTACTGCATCTACATACTTTTCAAGAGCACTGCGAACAGGAGGCAACCCCCCACAGCTGTGTTTGTGGACTGTCTCCAATATCTGACATCCATGAATCTGCAGAAAGAAAAGTTGGTTAGACTAGGTCTGTTATTTGGAGCTGTACTGACCTGTTAAGACACTGGTCCAGGGTGCCCAGAGAAGCTGTGGATGCCCCATCCCTGGAGGGGTTCAAGGCCAGGCTGGATGAGCCTTTGGGCAACCTGGGCTAGTGGGAGGTGTCCCTGCCCATGGCAGGGGGTGGCACTGGACGATCTCTAAGGTCCTTTCCAACCCAAACCATTCTGTGATTCTATGATTCATTGACATTTAAACACCGTGCTTCTGGTTAACAAGAAAATGCCTTAACAAGCTTCAGAAGTCTTACAGAAAGAGGTAACATACACCATGTAGTGGAGAAAGAGGCCTTCTGTGTATGGCTCTACACCCAAGCTCCTCTCAAAAATTTCCTTTACCAAAAAGTAAGCATCTCTAGATTTTGAAAATATTAGCTTCTGCCTTTTTTTTTTTCAGGTGGCAGTAGAAGAAAACAGACTCAGAAAATAAATTACAACCAGCAGCATCTCGTACTATGAAATGTATTGTGAGTACAACATGCAAGTCATCAAAGATCACACTGATAATGAAAAGTCAAATCCAGTGTAAACAGATTTGCAAAAGTACTTACGGCAGTACTAGGAATAGGGCACCCGTTACTGAAACCATAGTCTTTGCTAGTATTAAAGGTCTGAGGTGAGGGCAGAAAGAACTTTATCAGACGAAGAGGAAACTTGTTAAGGGAAACTAGCTACAGTTTTACTGTACCTTCTGAGTCTTGATCTGTTCCACCATGACCATCACAGAGGGGAAGAGTAACTGAAACTGCAGAATAAGGAGCAAAATATCAAATTAGGTTGCTATGCAAGGGAGAGAGAGAAAAACTATACTTGAGTAAGTGTGGACATCGGCTGATTACAATAATTTAATGAAATTATCATCTGTCTTTCCCCACAAATTACAAACGTGACATGAAAATCTCTAGGAAGAATGTCCTCCCTCCACTGGACCAAGATGCATGAAGTTACTGTATTCCAGCTGCAGCTCAGGCTAAACACAGCAAAGAATACGCGAGGGTCAAGGTGGAGAGTGCAAGAGACCCTCTGAGCATGATCAAGGGACTACACACGTAGAGGCGTTAAAAAGAAATGGCATGGCATGACGGACTAACCCTTACTTATCCCACCCACCTCCTTATTAGACTCAAGAAGTGATAAGAGTAACCCAAGAGCACTACCTGTTTATTAACATGACATACCTGGTCCAAGGAATAATTAACATGTGAGATGGAGAGATGTGGGTCAGCCAGAAACTGTAAGAACAACAGAGCAATTAATGAAAACTAAAATTAGGTATGAATAAGTAAAAAAGCATGTCTGGCTCTATATTCCAAACCTTTAGTTACCATAGTTGTTTTTTCCCATTTTAGGCTGTAAAAACCACTGGATGGTAACAGTACCCAAGATATAACAGCTGCTAATCTAACAGAGATTCATAAAAAGCTTTATAACTGAAAACATAAGTCACAATAATCTGAGACAGCACTGAGGCAGATGGGGCACTTACTGAACTGAAGAGAGAGGGGACTTGATGCTTATTAGAATGAAGAGTCATTTACAATGGCACCTGACAGGAACAGTTTGGAAGACATTCCTGATACAGAATGGGAGATACCTTGTCTCCTCTTTAGCTACTACTACTGAGCATGTTAACTGCAGAAATGACAGCTTTCCACAATCTGTCAGTAGGAGGGCAGCCCCTTGTTCCCAGTCTCTCTCCTTTACCTCTTGTTCTAGGTCCAGTAGTGCCTGTCGATACGGCTGCAGCACTGAATCCAGACCTGTGCAGAAGGCTCGCAAATAAATGCCATGTAGCCCACTCTGGTTTTGCTGAGACGGATGGTGGTCCTGAAAGCAAACAACAGAATCTACATCAGCTCCCCGAGAAGGTCTAAAGAGTAACGGAGTTCATGTGCAGCGTTACTCTTGCAGCCAGGGGTTGAAACATGTTGAAATGCACCTTGGCCCCCAGAGTCCCCAGGAAAAAACCCAGGAGTTTGTCACAAGAAGAGTTACGTGAGCAGTTTTATTCAGCTCTTCTGTGGACCCACGCAAGCACCGGGCACCGCCGGTGGCCCCAGTGCTGCTTTGTACTGGCGCGTGTCCCTCGGGTCTCAGAGCTCTTCACGGCCCAGAGGAGGGCTCGCTGCAGCGCGGGGACACGCCGGCT